TTGTTTTTCCAACCCCCCCCCCCCCGTTTCTTTCAGTTCATCCGGCACACACACCCATCTACCTACTGAACCCCTCCGCATCCACACTAGCCTCGATCTCAGAAAAGAGCCCACCTGTGCCTTTAAGTGAGAGCCCGCCCTCCCCTTCCCCTCTCTCCTCCAATCATCGTTAGCGGCGTGAGTGTGAGCGATGTGATTCGCTGCTGCTTGCTCATCGCCTCCTGTGGGACTCTCGTTCAGCTCCCCCATGCGCTCCCCCCCCCCACACACACACACACCCCAAAATGTTTGTATGTTGCAGAAATCAATCAGTAAAAATGAACATTAAGTAAAGACACGCCTCTTTGTTTTTATTCGTACGAGATGATGTCGCTAAAAAGTATGTGCGCAGGTTGTTTTGACTGTGTGTGTAGGTACAGACAGCTTTAATTTACAATATATAGAGCGCTTTAGTGGTTAATAAAATCACTGACTTGTCTCAAGAAAGGAAATAATTGAATTGTGTCTCCTACTGGCTAACAGCTCCGCACATATAATCAGATAATGTCAATCGTGTTTGTGTGTTTGTGTACAGGCGGGTGGTCGCAGCAGGAGATCCTCTCCCACACCTGGAAAATCTGCTGAGACAAATGTACACACACACACACACACACACTAATATGGCGATTAATTAATCACTGCAGGTGGTAAAAACACAGTCTTACGCGGAGACCTTGAGGGATTCACATTTGTATTCACTTTACACACAGAGAGTCGCAGCAGGAGGGAAGACTTACTGTGATTATTTGCTTCTGCTCACATGTAGCCAGTACTCGTTTCATATTAATTATACAGCACATTACAATACAATGTCACTGTTGCAGCAGAGGTGGTTTGGGCAACTTTGGTGTCATGTCAGTCCTCTTAGGTAGTCATTAGTTTGCTCTAACAGCTGGAAACATCAGCCCTGAGGGGAGAATAGCGGCATATAGATATAGCATGTAGATCTTTACATCATTTCAGGGTTACAGGAGTGGATGGTAAGGGAAGTAAGAAAACCAACAATAAAATGAAAAAAAACTGACATGTTTTTTGCTGTGATAGACATATTTATATAGTTTAAGTCTCTAAACTTTCTTTTGATCTACTGAGAATAGGATACCACCTCAATTCAAATTAATATTGCTGTATACTAACCTTCTAGCTCATAATTTAAACAATAGTTTTCAACCTTTTTGGTGTCAAAGACCCCCAAATTACACATAATGCACATCAGGCTGCAGACCAGTATTTGATAAGATGTAGTCTCAGGGATCTCCGTCTGATAAGATTTTAATATTCTATAATTGTCTGTACTGTGGATTGGCAGATTAACAGAGAAGAGTGGTAAATAGTCATTCTTATACATGCTCACATTCTGCCAACTTTTAGCCAATTAAATAAAAGTAAAATTAAAATATTCACTATTTTTCTGGGCACCCCCTGGAACCCCCTCAAGGATCCCTGGGGGGGTCCCCAGTGTCGAGAACGTTCATAACTCTGAGCCAAAATGGTCGAACTACTGTACATCCTGTGACATCCCGTCAGAATTAATTTTTAATCCATAAAAATACATATATTGCCTCATAAGGCAGGATCCAGTTCATTCATTACACCGGGCTCCCAGCACTCCTCCTGCACTTGTTTTCCAACTTCCTCCCCTTTATTTTACTCCTTGCCTTTTTTTTTTTTTAAATTATATGATAATCAAGGCAGTGTTTCATCTGTACAGCACAGTAGTTTCACTCACACACACACACACACACACACACACACACTCACTCTCTGTTGTATAAATTAAGCCAGGTTGCTGTCTTAACTGGGTCACCTCAGTTTTCCCATGGAGCAGTTTAACATGTTATGTAATGGCTTATAAATATAGCCAATCAGTGTTCAGTGTATGTGAGCGGTAGCAGCAGGCAGCGCTGCCATCTGAAGAAAGTGAAAATTGTGTCAGCTCTGTTTTTAAAGCCTGGAATATTCAGTACAACGTATACAACCAGATTATTTTTAGCTATGTTAGTCACATAGAGAAAATGCTGGAAGATTTTGACTTGCTAAGTCCACACTCACACATCCTTCACCGTTGTTCTTCTGGACTGTTACAGACGTCACATTCCCACTTTTGGTTTGCATCATACAATAATCTTGTCACAATGTTTATGGCCAGTTGTAACTTTACAACCCGCCGCGTGCAGCCGCTAATCACGTTTAGTATTCACGCTTGGCTGTCACACACTGACAGGCCTCGTACCGAGAGCTCCGCCAATCAGCCTGAGTGAAGAAAATGTTTTCATCTCAATAAATCAAAGTGTAAACAGCGCCGGAGGATTCATGGCACTGTATAATGATGTGCTCTGTGAGTGCTAAACTCATCCAGTTGTGAAGATTAGATGAAAGAGGGCAAGTTAATCCCTTTGATGAGAACATTTACATTTCAACAAACACACGCATAATGGCCACCACACTTCCCTCTACACGTCCTGTCAGTCAGACGTGGGCAGCGTTTTTTTCTTGTAAGAGTTTTTTTTAATGCAGTTTTATCATTCTACAAAAACATTCAAACAAAATACAAGACATGTCATGAAACGGCAACACATAAAACAACAAAACTGAAGGTGGATGCAAGGGGTGACGGCCACAACCTGCAGTTTGTTTTAAACTAGCTGGTCCCTTTAGACTGGACACCCTGTTCACCACACCTTTCACCATGTGGGGGTTAATGTACTTCAAGATCCTTTCCAGCCATAAGTGAAGAGTGTCATGTCTCAAATCCAGATGTAAAAGTGAGCCTAATAAAAACTGAATCATTTCAGCTCCACAGTAAACTTGTGGTGTTATTGGGTGTCTACAGGTGGCTGTGGTTGATGCTTATTGACAGACACAATAGTTATCTTTACAGTTAAAACCACAAAAAAACGTTTTCATGAGTTTGGCCTCTTTCTTTTTGACAAACATGTTCAATGTATGGTAGGATAGTGCTGAAATTATTTTTGATATTAACTTTGATTGACAGAAAATGTAGTTTCGTAGTCCTAAAAATACAAAACCTCTAATGTCAACCTTTTCCAGATAATTTATGTTTTATATAATAATAGATGACATTTGACTGTTTTTTTTTGACTGTCAGTGAAAACAAGCAAGCAACAAGCACCGCCTTGGTATCTGGGAATGTGACAGACATTGTTCATAATTTTCTGACCTTTTGTTGAAAAACAACTCCCAACAACCATCAATCAAAATAATAACCAAATATATTATAATATTATCATTAAATTATAATAAAAATAATCTTTGTAATAATTAAAGCTGGGTTAGATCAATGAGTGCTTTCTGGATGATTATTAACCAGTAATCTTAACCACTTTGCCTTAACTTAAAGTCTTTGCCCTCATTATTATATCTTTATAAAATACATTAACAGTACATATAAAGCTGCTAAGCCCCGCCTCTAGTTTTTCCCTCTCTGCCTGTCAATCAAACCTTAATCCCGCCCCCTCCCTGCCCTGCCCGTCAATCAAACTCCGGCCCCGCCCCTTCACGTCGCGCAAAAAAAAAAACAGCAGCGGCGGCCGTTGGGGAAAGAGAGTAAATAGAGAGAAGCCTCAAGATGGCTGACTCGCTGGGCTCCGCTCACCTCACCGGAGCCGCTGCCGCTGCTACTGCGGTGGCCCCGGCGGTCGCCTCCCCCAAACGGTCGTCAACGTCGACAGCAGCGCACTAACAGCCCCCCTCGACTCGGTGGAGACCTCGTAAAAAACGCTGCCGATATACATATAAATAAATAAAAACCGAGAAGTTCTACGGGCTTCCTACACAACCGTCGGAGACTAGGAAGCGCCTTTTTGGGCAGTAGGCTAGTTCCGAAAACGACTGTCCAGGGACAAATTATGTTGGCAGGGAACTGCCACACTTCCGGGCGGCCACATGTACACGCGTGCCCCAAGTCGGGCTGAATCCACGATGGAGCCAAGTAACTATAAAAAAAGGGGCAACAACTCTAGTCATACTTATTAATAAACACACAACTGGCAAAAACTTTATGAATCCAAGTGCAATTTAGACGGAGAGAACATAAAGAGGTATGGATGGCCCTACCTTTGCGGTGGCGAAATGACCCTCCCCATTTTCCCTCTTCGCCGCTGACAGTGTTATTAAATCTGCTGATATCGTTGTTGTTTACAACGTTACTCCCGGGGCGGAGGTCACCGCCCAGTTTATGTTCTTTTTTCTCCGCTCTCCGCCTCCTTCCCCTTCTCCCTTTTCTCTTTCTCCCGCTGTTTATCTTTATTCGGCTTTCTTGGGTCTGGAGGGAGGGTAAGGCGCTTTCGTGTGCGGAGAAGAAATCGGCTCTGTTTGAAGACTTTGGTGTGTGGTTTGTTCGGGTGGTATGGGATCCACCGGTAGCAGGCCACCGGAGCGGTTGGTTGCCTGCTCGCCTTAACCGGGCTTGAAGCTCCACGAACCCGCCGCCGCCTGCCGTAACTCTGCCTGCTTCGCTGGCTGCCTGCGGAGTTTTCTCTCTGCCGCCTTGCCGTTTGCCTCCCACTCCTCCTTCCCTGCTGAGTTTCTTGGGTTTAAAACGCTCCCTCTCCTCACTCGGACCTTCTTGGGCGCGGCGGGCGGCGGGCGGCGGCGGGGTTGAAATCCCGGGAAGACGAGAGCCGGTTGCTTTCAGGGCTCCCTTCGCCTCGGTCGGCTTTGACGAGCGGGCTCTTGGCGGAGGCG